CGCTGTCGATAACTTAAGTTATCACGGTCGGTCATCAATATTATCTCTGTCGATAACTTATCACCGGCCTTAGAACCGGCCTTATGTATGTACTTAACAGCATTTTTGTAAGTTAAATTGAATTCAGTTTGAATGTTTTTACACGGTGTTTAAAAATGTACTGTATATATCTATTTATTGGTCGTAAATGAAATTTGCAATATCGATTTTATCTATAAAGGCAGCATTTCTCAATTTAATGACCTCACATATACATAAGTGCATTATAACTAGCTTTTAGTTATTAAGAATTATAATGTTTAAAAAAGAACAGAATGTAAAAATTCATATATTAATATATTAACTACAAATATGGGCAATTAAAAAGTTCTTAGGCTTGGGGAATTAATTAGCTAAATCCTAATTTATTAGCATTGTTTAAATTTATAACATTTATTGATACCGTTGATTAGAATATTTCAACACTCGATTCTGATTTGATAATACTACTAGACATAAGTTTCTCGTTATTAGTTATTTAAAAGAATAATGTTAAGAAAAAAAATTTGGCGAATTAATTAAAAAAAATTAATTTAAAATTTATATATTATGAGAAGAAAAATTATTGATAACCAATATGGATAATTGAGAATACCCATAATTGAGGAAAAGTATAATCTCTAATCTAACTTTCTGTTATATTTTACATTCCAGGTAGGCAAACCTATGCCCCTAACAGCTATAGCTACCTGTCGAATCTTCAAGAGTGCAATAAAATTAATAATAACATAGAATTAGAAAGTTAGGGTAATAATGTACATGCTCTCTTTTAAACAGGGACCGAAAATTGAAAATTCTTTGAGAAATTTTAAATTGTCATGCAGGTACTACAAAATAGTCAGTTTTGATTTTTTTGCAATGAAATATCTTTTATAAAAGTATAAAGCAAGTTATAAGTCTAAAACATATTTTTGACTATTTTATAATACTCTTATCAATAACAATATTATCCTACGTTTCTCATTCTAATCTTTTGTTAGTTCGTGCTGAAAAGACAATTCCCACTTCCAATGTGTAAATCTAATTGTGAATTATCCTTAATTACAGAGGAAACACGGACTTCTTACATTTGGGGGCATAAATGAATTGATATAAATATCGACTTAGAGTATTATTGATTTTAAATCATCAGCACTGAGATAATTTAAAGACTCTTAAAGGACACAGTTAAAAATATCGATGCAGGCTCCCGTATTGCTTCTAAAAATTTTGATGAATCAACAATGATCTTCAAGACGTTCTTTTGTCACAGAAGTTTGTCGCTGTTCTAATTTACGTTGTGCTGACTCTATTGTAACACGATATCTAGGAACAATGCGAAGGATTTTTATTTGTTTATCAACAGTAGAGTCCAAATTGCCATTTATAATTGAATAAAACGACAATGATACGCCATGAGCTGGTTCTAAAACTTCTCCATTCGGTGATAAAGCCACGCGCCGGTGGACAAGTCCGGCATTAACAATTTTCAAATATGCTGAGACTTGCTGACTTGGAGCCCTCCAAGTCAGAACATTGTCTGACAATGATAAATATAGGATCGTACTGGGAGTCGTCCACCGATGATCCAGTATGATGATCGTATGAGGTTCAGAGTTGCCTGCGTCCCACCGTGCAATGTTCTTTCATGAGCATCTGTAACGATTAGTCTCGAAAGATGAGTTTTCTGTGGTAGGATTGCAGGATGCTTTGCTTCTTGGTCCAAGCTAGCATTTGCTGACCTCCCTCCAACACGTATGACTCCTTGAGTGTCAATAAATGCTGTCAATCGTGAGAGGAGGTGTGAGACGGGCAGTGAATTTGAGTTGTTCTGCTTGATTTCCTGTGAGAAATACGATTCTTGAGTTGCCTTTATCCAAAAAATCCTTGCTCTCTCTAAATCTCGTGGCATGAGAGGAAAGGTAAAAGATGACTGAGGTACTCGTCTAAGGAGTTGGCTGAACCTGAAGCAAATTGCAGTCACTCTGAGCAATTTGATTAGACGAGAGTGTCTGTATATCATATCCCAATGATAATCATGGTGAATTGTCTGAGTATTTAACGTGATCACTGGTCGCTCTTCTTGCTGAGCTTTTGAATCGTACACTGATGATTGAGTTGGCCATGATGATTCGTCTGCTGTTAACCACTGTGAACCTGTCCACCACAGGGGGTGCTTCCGAAGCTGGGATATGCTGATACCTCGAGAAGCACAATCCACTGGATTTTGTTCGCCAGGTACAAACCTCCAAACGCTGATTGGAGTGAGATCTTGAATTGCTGACACTTTATTTCTTACAAACTCTTTCCAACGGGATGAGTGAGACTGAATCCAGGTCAATGTTACTGAGTCTGTCCAACATACCGTTTGGGTTGGCTGAATGTCTAAGTTGTTCCTTACATAAGTGATTAGTCTAGCCAGCAGCAATGCTGCGGTGAGTTCTAATCTAGGAATAGACATCTTCTTCAATGGAGCAACCTTAGACTTTGAGCAGACTATAGTTGAACAAGTTCCATGATCTGGATGAGTAGCCCGTATATAAACAACTGCTGCCATAGCTAGTTGTGAGGCGTCTGAAAACCCATGAAGTTCCGCGGTAGATTTCTGAGTAATCTTAAACCATCGTGGAATTGAGAGGTCTGAAACGTGTGAGAGTTCTGTTCTGAAGCTGTTCCACTTGGTGATAATGTGATCTGGGGCTTGGTCATCCCATGACAGTTTATCTAGCCAGATTTCTTGTAGCAACATCTTTGCTCTGACAATGAAAGGTGCTAGAAACCCAAGTGGATTGTAGAGTTGTGCTGTTTCTGATAAAATTATTCTCTTCGTGAGCTTGGACTTCTCACGAGGAGGTTGTGAGTTGAACTTAAATGAGTCGTTCGCTGGAATCCACGAGAGCCCAAGTAATTTTGTTTTACAGCTCTCAAATGAGTGGATCTGCTCTTCTGATGAGTTGTCTGTGATTGACTGAAGGAATTGGATTGAGTTGCTGTGCCATTTCGCCAACGGGAAGCCACCTGCCATGCAGAGTTGTCTGACTTGAGTTGAGATGTCTATAAGTTGACTCACTGTGTCAGCACCTCCAAAAATATCGTCCACATATCTTCCTTTTAATAGTAGATCAACAGCTAGAGGGAATTTTCGACCCTCATCCTTTACTAGCTGGATCATTGTGCGAACAGCCAGAAATGGAGCTGATCTGGTACCATACGTGACTGTTGTGAGTTGATATGGGATTCTCTGGAGATCCCAATCATCTTGATGGACTTTGATTTGCCTGTACATCTTTGTGATGTCTGATGTAAACACAAATTTATGCTGTCTGATCCAAATGAGTACGTCTGCAATGTCTTTCTGGACTTTGGCACCAGTATGTTGAATATCGTTCACTGACAGACCACTAGAAGATGGACTAGAGCCATTAAATACTACCCGAAGCTTTGTAGTAACACTGTCTTCTCTTAAGACACCATCATGAGGCAAATAATACACTGGAGAGTTGACTGGACATGCCTTGGCTCGTTTCATGTGGTTCAGTGACTCATATTCTTGCATAAAGTTGTGATAGAGTTGTGCATATGAGTCATTTTTTGTGAGTCGTCTGATCATGTGTCGTAAACACTGATGAGCTCTTGCTGATGAGTTGCCTAGAAGAGATGGTGATGCTTTTAGCGGTACTCTCACAATATATCTCCCATCTTGATCTCTTGAATGAGTCGTAACATAATGATCTTCACAATTCACAAGATTGATCGTCTGGGCTGAGTTGGCTGGCTGAAGTATCTGGAACTTCTTCTTGAACCCAGAATTTTGTCAAGAGATCAGATACTTGCTGGTATGAGCTGACCCTTGCTGCGTGATGAGTTTTCGTAGTTGAGCATCTTGTCTGTTGTGGCATTCCAATGAGCATCCATCCAAAGATTGAATCTTGGGCTATTAAAGATGACTGAGGAAATTGTTTGATGCCCACCTTCACAATCAGACCATAACAATCTGCTCCTATTAAGATATCAATGGATCTTGGAGTTGAGTAGTCTGGATCAACAAGTTGAAGAGAGTTGAGAGCTGACCAGTTGATTTCTTGAGTTGTCTGGTTGGTAAAGTGACAGTGACACATTTGAGGATATGAGCATTAATTGTAACTCGCTCCTGTGTGTGAGTTGATCTAAGTGTCACTGTTGTCACCCCTCTAGTTTGTACAGCTGGTTCGTTACCAATTCCCAGCATTGATATCACTGATGGACGACGTTGGAGATGACAAGTCTTTACCACACTTGATGAGATGAATGTCAGCTCAGACCCTGAGTCTATCAGGAGTCTTACTGGAAGCTGAGAGTAGTCTGAGAGTAATACTGCAGTGGCTGTGGCGAGTAAGACTGCTGAGCTGTCTGATTGATCTGAAGACTCATTAATACATGTCTCTTCTGCTGCTCTAAGTGCTGAAGAGAATCGTCCATAAATCTCTGAGTTGTCTGTATTATTCTTGATGATTGTTGAATCATGTGAGTCGTCTGAGAGTTGACTAGTGTGAGTTTGACTCTTTTCTTCAGCTGTAGGAAATCGAACGAAACCTTCTGACTCTTCTTCCAGAACCCTCAACCCTCCTGAGGCCGAAACCTCATGTGCTAAGGTCATCCTTTCCGTCGAGTCATCAGAGAAGCGTTCTTTACTCCTGTTAGCGTATATAGATTGACATGATTCATCACCATTCATTGTTAAGTTGTCTGCATGTTGAGTGATCACACCACCACTTGAAGAGTTGACTAAAGCATAATCAGAGTTAAATGCAGAGAGTTGACTGTGATGATGATTTACCTGGTGAAAAGTCAGTTCAGATGAATGAGTGTGATCTGGAGTCGGCTGTGGAAATGGCACGTCATCACCTCACTGCTGGGAGGTTGATGGCTGTTGGCTGCTGTGAGTAGGCTGCGGTTCTTGGCCTGGTCCATACCCTCTTTTTCATTTCACACTTTATTTGGCATAACTGTTTAAAACAAATTTATATAGGCATGTTTGTGGGAAGTATGCAGTCCTGTGCGTGACGAAACATACATGCGTGAGAAATCAAGAAACATATAAACCGCAGCTTCTGTCAGGATCTTCTAACGTACATTAATTCTTCTCTTTCTGCGCCTGTGCACGACTGGCAGTTAGTGCAAGCATTTTTTATTTTCGAATAATGGAACAGTAAAAGTAATAAAACTGATAGCAGAATCAATGAATATAATAAAACTGATTCATACAGTTCTATTTTATTAATTGTACAATTAATAAATGTTTACTTATTCTGAAGTCAATTGAATTATCATTATTGTTTACTTTGTAGAGAGTGGAATATAATTTATTTTCAGGTTTGAATTTTCAATATAATTATAATAAGTTTAACAAAAAATCAACAACACCTAGAACTACAGTACTGAACTATCATGTACACTCTACAAGTTAAACAATAAATATTCTTAGTAATTTTTACTGTTTTATTTTTAGAAAGTACGAAGAACAAAACAGACATTAATTTACTGATAAAATAATAGAATATGACTTTAATAGTATTGACATTAAACTTGATGCAGTGAAGAAATGGGTTGGAAATAAATAAAATGTCATTAACTTATTAACAATGAGAGGTATTGATCTAATTTTCTAACAATTTATTCAAGTATTATGATGAATAAAATCCAACGCTATTGCCACTTTCATAATGGCGTTCATAGACATTAAGAATAGAACTTTAGATTCTTATGCATCCCAAGTCAATTTGAAGAAGATAGTCTAGAAGATGGATGTATGAAAATAATACGTATGACCTAATATACCTTTTGTTGATGTAAAAAATCATCACTTAACGGTTTAGAAAGTAAATATATGGTTCTATGACTTTTGACCCGCGGACAAAATATCCCCGACGAATTCAAACCCAAAAATATTTTAAAAATTCAGAAAAAAAAAAATTGTCATAAAAACTTAGTACCAAATTAACTTTGGTGCTACAAATTTACATTTGTAATAATTTATTGTCAAATATGATCTTAGAAAATAGGCTTGAATTGGGTGTGTTGTCGGCCTAGAAAATGTTTTTGGGCTTCAATTGGGCTCCTTCAAAATTTAGGCTTGTATTGGGCTCATTTTTTATTTTGGGCTTCTTTTGGGCCTATTTATTTTTACTCGGGTAGCAAACGTAAATTATAAGCGAAAATAACATCTGTGGTATTACGAGCTTGTATTGCGCTAGCCTGAATCCGACGCCAATAACATCGGTTGAGGTGAAAATTGCAGCCGGTGACTTTGACTCCTGCGTATACTTCTTTCGAAGCTTTAATGAATACCGTTTCAAAATCTACTATAATAACACTTGGCGAAAAATTAGGCAAAGATCGGCGCAAAACTTACAACACTTGAATATATTCGGTAATAGTACATACACAAGTAGGACAGATCTACCTCCCATGAAGCCATGTATAGTGTATAGTTGCAAAAAGTTGTTTAGTACAACGCAAAAGTTCCATCACCTAACCACTGTTGACATCTGCTTAAAACATTCAGATTTTTATGCGTTGTAAACGTCAAAAATCGCCTCTTTGAACCACCATTATCATATAATAAAAATAGTTCTCCAGTGTGAGTATATTTAAATTCTTCTAATAATACCAATTCACGATGTGATGATACAGTCGGGAGTTGAGGGTTTTCTTTAGCTCTGATACGATTCACTGTTCGACTTATGGATGAAAGATTAGGCAACAAATTGTAAAAATTATAAAAATAAATGGTATTGGTTATAAGGAATATATGTATAAATAAATAATAATAATATAAAGTAGTGTATGGAGGAGTAAACAGTGATTTTTTTTTATTAATTTGTACTAATGTAAAGGATAGGGAAAAGCAACAATACTGAAATTACATTTTTTTTTCCTTTCAATAGTAGTACTCTTTTTTGGATAAAGTTTTTTGTGTGACTTTAACGTTGATAACTTGGCCAGTTAGGAGCGTGGAACACAAATTAATTTATTCAAAGTTATCTTGTTAACATGGAAGATTGTGAAAATCATTACAAAAAAATTGTAGTAGCAGTGAGTATCATACGACTCATTTTGGAGTATATTATTGTTATGGCAATTTTGGTTAAAGCTTTGACAGATCGCTTGTAGGGAAGATGAAAGAAAGTTTTTTTTGAGTAGAATAGAATACTTGCAATGGTCAGTCATAAAAGTAGTTTTTTTTGGAGAGTATTAGTAAAAGCAAGTGAAACTGCTCAGTTTTGATGAAATTTAAAAAGAAAAATCATTAGTCGAGATTCATTAAGTTAAAAGGAAAAATTGCGTCATGGACTTCACGAGAATGAGTCACAGTTGAGTCACAAAATTAATTTAGAAATTAGGAGCCTCTAATTTTCTATTACCGTAATAAAAGGTGTGTGAGTCAAACATGATTAGAAATTCTTTTTTTAAAGAAAATTTTTTTTAATTAAACTGAAAAGCAAAATAAAAAAAAAAGAAACATATTTGAAAGGGGAGACAAGTCGTAAAATAGGAAATAAATTTCTTTTTTTTAGAAAAAAAAAATATAAAAAAGGAAGTGACTCAGAACAGTAGTTTTTTTTTAAAATTAATTTCACTTAAAATAATAAATTATTTTTTAGGGAAAAATGAGTTCATCCTAATAAATTTTTTTTTATTATTCAATTACTTAATAAACAATTTAATGAAAGTGTTTTGACTAATAATTTTTTTTTTTGAAATAAAGATAATAGTATAGGGTGATTTAATAATGAAATTACTAAAAGATCATTACTATTGAATATTTGATACTAGCTTTTTTATTTTACTTTTTGAATTAAATAAGTGAATAAAATATTTTAACAATAAATAAGATTTATCAGTAAATAATTCGCGGGTGAATTTTAAGGGATAAAGAATATTTTTTTTTGAGATAGACCCACACTTAAATTTTTTTTGGGAACGCATTACATAGAAAGAAAGTTTCATTAGAAGTCCTATTAAAATATGATCAAATGCCGGACAGAATTCCTCGTACTCCAGTTGAAACAAGAAATAGTGAAGGTGCAGGAGTAGCAAGATCAGGTTTAATTCCGCCAAGTTTAGAGCGTGAGTTTGAAGAAATTGCGCGGGCCGATCGGGAAGGGACTGAGTTAGAACAAGGGAGGTTAGAAAGCGAACAAGAAAGCGTAGAAGGAGGTGAAAGAAGCCAGATAGGAGAGGATTTAAGAAAGGAAAATAACGGTGGACAAGAGATAATAAATAGAAATCTAACAAGAATGGCGGTTAATGACCAGGGACTTGCTGTTTCAATTAAATACGCATTAGAAGCAGTGCCAGTCTTTGATGGAAATACTACGCATGTTAGTCATTTTATAGAAGGATGTCAGGAGGCCAAAAGAATGGTGCCACCAGCAAACGAACGTTGGTTAGTGCAGGTGCTAAGAAATAAACTTAGAGGAGAAGCGCGGCGGTGTATTCAAGGAACTGATTTTGAAAATGTAGAGGATCTAATTAAATTTTTGAAAAAGATGTTTATGCCAACCAAAACACTATTTGAATTGCAAGGAGAGCTGGGAAGCGTAGTGCAAAGGGACAACGAAGGAGTCTTGACATATGCGAATCGTGTAAAAGATCTCGAATCCAATAGTTTGTCAGCTATGTAACAAGAAAGGACATGAAGCGTCGAAATGTTATAGCTTAAATAGAGGACAGGGCCCGTCCCAAGGCAAACTAATTAACGGAAAGACCACAGAGGGAAACAGTTACGGAAGACAGAATTTATATTGTGAAAATTGTAAAATGACCGGTCATACAGTAAATTATTGTAAAAAGGGAGGACGAAGTAATTATCGAAGTTTTAATGAGAGTATAAATGACAAGATGGTGCAACAAGTTCCTCGTAATTTTAATCCATATGGAAATTTTAATGAAAATAGAGGCCCAGGGGGTACTCAGAGTTTTAATAGAGGCCCGGGAGGCACTCAAAATTATAATAGAGGAGGAGGTAATGGCGCCCAAAATCAGGAAAATGGCCAGCCCCTCCCGCATTATTGCGCAGCGTGGGACACGGGGCGAATTGCGCGCCCGGTCTTGCATATTCAGGAACCGGAAGAGAGTCAGACACCGGCCCAGGATTGTCTAGAAGAATATACTCTGTGGCCACAGTTAAATTAAACGGTGAATATATAGTGCCGACAATAATAACTGATGCAAAAGAATTTATTCGCCCGGTGGAAATTATGATAGACACGGGTTGTGAGATTAATTTGATAAGAAGAAGTTTAATTAGAGACGATGTATATGTCAATAAAGAAAAAATTTTAAAGTTAAAAGGGATAACGCCAAGTTTGGTAGACACAATAGGAGAGATTATATCTACACTTGAGGGATTTTCAGTAAATTTTCAGTTGGTACCTGGCAATTTTCCAATAACCAGAGATGGAATTTTAGGGTCCGACTTTTTAAGGAGAAATAACATAGATGTTATGTACTCAAAGGCATGTTTAAGGTGGAAAAATGGTTATTTACCTTTTCTGCGTGAAGAAACAATGGTAATACCAGCAAGAATACAGCATGGGTTTTATGTTCGAGTGACAAACCCGGAAGTTAAAATTGGATATGTTATGAAGCTAGATGTCAAACCAGGGGTTTATTTGGGAGAAGCAGTAGTCACAAATCGAGAAGGAAAGGGGTACATGTATATCTATAATA